AAAAAAAAAAAAAAAAAAAAAATTCCAAACAAATTGAACAGCCAAGGCTTGTTGGCTTATTTCTGGAATCCCAACACACTGGGAGGCCAAGGTGGGAAAACAACATGGTGGCCGGAGTTTGAGACCAGCCTGAAGCTGGTGCAGTGTCTCACATATGTAATCTCAGCACTTTAGGAGGCTGAGGCAGGCGGATGACCTGAAGTCAGGAGTTTGAGACCAGACTGACCAGCATAGTTTATTAGAGACCCTGTCTACTAAAAATACAAAATTTAGCTGGGCATACTGGTTGATGCCTTTAATCACAGCTTCTCAGGAGGCTAAGGCAGGAGAATCACTTCCGGGAGGCGGAGTTGGAGTGAAGGAAGATCACACCACTGCACTCCAGCCTGAGCAACAAGAGCTAAACTCCGTCTCAATTAAAAAAAAAAAAAAAAAGAGAGAGAGAGAACAGCCTAGCCAACATGGTGAAACCCTGTGTCTACTAAAAATACAAAAATTAGCAGGGTGTGGTGGCATGTGGCTATAATCCCAGCTACTTGGGAGGCTGACACAAGAGAATTGCTTGGACACGGTAGAGAAAGGTTGCCGTGAGTGGAGATTGTACCACTGAACTGCAACCTGGGAAACAGAGCAAGATTATCTGAAATATAACATAAAATAGCCTGGGCATGGTGGTTCATGCTTGTAATCCCAGCACTTTGAGAGGCAGAGGTGGGTGGATCATTTGAGCTCGACATTTCAAAATCAGCCTGGTCAATGTGGTGAAACCCGTCTCTACTAAAAATATGAAAACTTAGCCAGTCTGGTTGCAGGCACCTGTTCCCAGCTACTTGGGAGGCTGAGGCAAAACAATGCCTTGAACCTGGGAGGAGGAAATTGCAATGAGCCTAGATCACACCACTGAACTCCAGCCTGGGTCACAGAAAATGTCTCCATTTCAGAAAAACTAATGAATAAAATTGAATAATATTGAGGAATTGAAATAAAAACATGGAGAACTACCAAACATCAGAAAAAGGAGGATAACAACAAGAAATATTAAAATGGCAAAAAACAAAAATTGTGGATATACAAAATACAAAAAATAATTGAAAAATTTCTTAAAAGAAAAAAACAGGCTGGGCACAGTGGCTCACACTTCTAATCCAAGCTCTTTGGGAGGCCAAGGTGGGCAGATCATGAGGTTAAGAGACCGAGACCATCCTGTCCAACATAGTGAAAACCAGTTTTGACTAAAAATACAAAAAATTAGTTGGGCAAAGTGGCTCACACTTGTAATTCCAGAACTTTTAGAGGCCAAGGTGAGTGGATTATGAAGTCAAGAGATTGAGATCATCCTGGCTAAAACAGTCAAACCCTGTCTCTACTAAAAGTACAAAAAATTAACCAGGTGTGGGGGCGCATGCCTGTAGTCCCAGCTACTTTGGAGGCTGAGACATTGGAATCGCTTGAACCTGGGAGGGGAAGGTTGCGGCAAGCCGAGATCATGCCATTGCACTCGATACACACAGATATTTATATCAAACATACATATTAGCAAAATTTCAAAAATTATAGATAAGCAAATTTGGGAAGTTGCAAGATGAAAATGATGTTTCATTCATAAGCATAGTCTCATGAGGTAACCAGTGCATTTATTAAAAAATTGTTTGCGGATCAGAAGGAAACTGTGTGATATTGTTAAAGTTATAATTTTTTTTAAAAAGTCCTCAGGTGGGCAAAATATCATCAGCAAAATTTTACTGCCAAATAACAAGAAATCCTTCAAGATAACCAAATCCTGAGGAAGTATATTAGCACTGCATATGCCCTATATATCAAAGATGCTGAAAGGAGTTTCTTTCACTGAAAATAGTAGCAAGAAAGCAACACAAAATCATATGAAAATATAATTTTCTGGAAAAGATAATGCGCATACACAAAAAATACAATTTCCTACTTAACATTTTTATAATAGTGCAGAATATACTTTTAATTATTCTCTAAAATTTGAAAGAGAAGACTATGAATATTATTGTAAACATCTGTTAATGAACATACAACATAAAAATATAATTAGCAAAATCAACAACAAACTTGAAGGTACATGTAATGATGAAGAATTTTTGTATGAAAATGAAGTTAAATTTACCACATTCAAATATATTCTTGGATCTTTTAGAAGTTTTATGTAATCCCCAGGTATTACAAAGAAAATATCTGGGTCGGCGCTGTGGCTTTCACCTGTATTTCTAGAACTTTGGAGGCCAAGGTGGGTGGATAATGAGGTCAGGAGTTCAAGACTAGCCTGACCAACATGGTAGACCTTGTCTCTACTAAAAATACAAAATTAGCCGGGCGTGGTAGCACATGCCTGTAATCCCCGATACTCGGGAGACTGAG